TAAACTGGGTGAACTTGTAATGATTCACGTTTTATGTCAAGCCTGTTTTTATTTCCTGCCTTCCCTTCTTACCTCTCCTCTCTGATCAGCTTCACTCATCTCACCTGTGTCTTACCAGATCTTCCTCCTGCTTCACCTGCGCTGCACTTCTTAAAACACTCTCTGCTCTCTGCCTCCCTGCCAGATTATCTGACTGCCCTGTGCCTGAAGTAATCCAGCAGTCCTGTACTCGCTCTCGTTAACGACTTCGATCCGTGTCCACACATTCTTCTCTTCTTGCCATGACAGAATAATCCAGCCCATCTCATATCTGGACCTTGACCCCTGCTCTGTCTCTGGACTACTGATTCTCATTGAAACCCTCTTTGTGAATGATCAGTGCATGATTATTGAGCTCACTTTAGGAAACTGGATTCAAGAATCTGTTTGCTCTCTGTGACCAGTCCAACAAACTGAAGAGGAGCATTTGGGGAATCCCTCTGGCTTCACTCATACCTCACATGACCTGGCTGCACCTCCATCCCTCCTCCAAACCATCACCCTCTCTGACGTCATGGAATTTGCTGCTCCCAGCCTGCTTACTGCGTCTGAACTTCTCAAGTTCTCTCAGTCACCAAGAAATCACAGCCATACTTTTTCTTCCTGCAGAATTTCAGCCGACGAACCACTTCCTGAGTTATTAATCTGACAAGCTTTCAATAAATCGTAACGTTCATTCCTGTGTTGTTGAATTTCTGGGTCCACATTGTGATTCATCAGAGATGTAGATGTTTATCAAATGTTCAAATGTTGGAGAGTTTTGTTGAAATCCATCTGGTTATTCATGAAATCCCTAGCTAACAAACGGGGTTGACTCCAAAAGTTACAGTCGAGGCCTTAACGAAAGATATGTCTGTGTGTTGACGCTGCCATGCTGTCATGCTTTATGATAACTGACACATCAAATTTAGCTCACTATCTGTAAGACTAGGGGGTTTAAGCCTTTTTAGTGTGTTCTAAGCTCAGTTGACTATGGCAGCCGTCTTTGATTGGGTGAATCAGTTATTGTTGAAAACCCTGTGAAAGTTTGTTTGGTTCATGACATATTTTGCTAACAGACAAGTTAATGACATGTTAATTCCACTTGAGATCACGGGAGTTTCCTTGTGGTGCTTCAAGTTCAGTGTTCATGTGGTGTGTGATGACATCACTGCTGACTCGGGAACAAACACCTCTCTCTGCAGGTCATTTGGATGCTGTGGAGAAAAGAGCCTTTCGTTTAGCAGCAGGGCAGTTTGTTGCATTAGCCAGGTGTTCATCAGATCCTCTTCTCAAGCAGCAACCTTGCTCTTCATGACTCGGCTGTTTGTAACCAGCATGGGGTGCAGGCCCACCTGTTGCAGCTGCTTCCTCACTTCACAGCTTCTTCTGCAGGCAGGACTTGAGGCGGCTTTAACTGCTGCTTCCACTTAACATGTTGGAGCTTTGTCCAGTGTGACCCCCCACCGCCCCCACCACCCCCAGCAGTAACCTGTCCTTCATAGCACTGAGATGAGTGTTAGCAATCAACTGATCTTATTATGAGTTCACTTTCCATGGTTTTAAAGGAAAGTGAGAATGACAAAAATAAATCATTATTTTTTTCTATAAATATTCTCTCCATAAATGAGAACTGGTAGTTGTTTGTTGGTTCTTCCACGTGTGTAGCAGTCTTCATTTAAATTTGGTTTCTCCATGTTTATACGTCCGTCAAAGTCAGGATGTGTTGTGGGTCAGCCTCCGACCATACGCTGTAAACTTCCTCTTGTCCCACCCAGAACATCTGATCCCCTCATAATTTAACACGTCATACACACATGCATCATCATTAGGCACAGTGACACATGCACTTTTCATCACCACAGCTCAAAGGTCAAGGTCACAAATCAAGGTCAAAAGGTATTGGAGGTCTTTGCTTGTCTGGACCGTTACTATAGATTGTACAATGGTTTGTTGACGGGCGTATAATGTGTCGTATGAGGTACTCTGGTCTGAAAATAACTGTCTACTACACTTTTTTTTCTTTCAAAAGTGTAAACATCCACGGTGACCCTCAGATGGACTGAGCTCCACACGGTGTGTCTGGTTTGGGTTTTACAGAGTCTGTTCTGTAAATAATTAACAGATAAACCACACTGTTCCAAAGCTCAAAACATTTTAAATCAAATTCACTTTAGTCGTCTCAGCAGAAATATTATGAAACTCCTGCCAGAACTGACCCCACGATGCACCAAAGGTGCTACAGCTAGCTGCTGCTGGTGGAGCCTTCAGACTCGCTGGTTACTGTTGTTCAAAGAGCTACGTGTTTATAACTTTTCTCCTAAAGCCTTCTTCAGATGGCTGAAACAGCACTTTACTGATGTACATACACGGGAGAAGCAAACAAAAGTAAAAATGATTTGGTCAAAAAGGACGACTTGTTCAAAAGTTATTCTTCTGTACATGATACAGAACTTTTATTAAAATCTTTCAAAATACACTCGAGTCTGTAAGACAGAACTCAGGGCTGGAAAATGACGTTCAGCACCTTCTGTGACGATCAGTCGACAGATCGATCATTTTCTGCTTTGAACAAATGAAAATGTCCGAATATGAAAATCCAGAGCAGTAAAAAACTTCACGCTGTCTCCTGTAACAAACATCTGCTTCAGACCTTTGGAGAACAGTTCGGGAATGTTCAAAAACTCTTAATGTTCCTGATGTTCGACATCTTGTAAGGAGCGTTCTCACCTGACTGTTGCCATGGTAACGTGTGTAAAATCACACGTGAGGAACAACCGGGACAGAACTTCAACAGGAACCTCAATTCTTTTATTATCGTGAAAACAGACCAGCATTTTAAATTTAAATACCACTTTGTTTGTTTATTTGTTTACTCGTTCATTTTATTTTATCTACCAGGGAGTGCTGTAGCACCCGCAGCACCCCACACTCCCACGGCCTTCTGATCCATCTCTGATCATTCTGATCAAACCTAATGATCGCAGGAAATGCCTCCTGCTGGGCTTCAGGGAATCTCTTGGGAAACTTTTCACCTCAGTGAGCGTAAAAAAATAAAAATACAAACTGAGCATCAAATCCTGCTAGACGCTCAGTCACAGGATCAGAGGCAATGACCAGCGCTCATTTTTAAATTACACCCCCCCATGGTATAAAGTAGACGTGAGGAGTTTTACACGGTGTGGCTCTGATGTCAGAAAATGACACCTTCCTACAAAGTCTCCCTCCTCCTCCTCACTCGTGCTCAGAGCGGACCTCACAGGTTTATTGTGCAGGTTAAACGTTCAGTGTGACTTCAGGTCAGGTATGTAAAAATCCCCAGCACCTTGAAAAAGTCTTCACACACACAACTTCTCACTTTTTGTCACGTTACGAACGTCACAGATGCAGCACGACTGTGAAGTGGAAGGAAAGTGATGTTTTTAAAGTTCTGTACAAATAAACATCTGAAAGTTTTGGAAGACCTACAAAGACCAGACTGTCCACCTAAAGTGACAGGCCAGGCCAGGACAGCATTAATCTGAGAAACAACCAGGTGGTGCAGCGGAACATCAGCAGAGACCCACAGCTCAGGTGGGACAATCTGTCCTCAGGACAACTGTTATTTATTTATTTAACTTGTATTTATACAGGTACTCACTGAGTCATGAGGACTCATTTTCAAGAGTCCTGTTTGGGAGCAGGTGGTGGGGGTTAAGGGCTCAAAGGCCCAGGGTGGGGCGAATGAGGGTGGAGGCAGGTGTGGGTGTCTCACCTTTCCCACCCACATTTTGACATTGTCAGTCCAGGGAGTTGAACTGGCGACCTTCCAATCACAGGCCCATCTTCTCTCTAACCTTTGCACCACCACTCCCAGTTAGCTGTGCTCCACAAATCCTAGAGAAAACCAGAAGAACTGAACTAACGCTGCACATCACCCTGAACGCACCATCCTCACTGTGATGCTGAGAGGGGAGCTGCTCAGAGACTGGACGTATCGAACTGAATACTGGTCGATACTGGAAGAAAACCTGTTAGACTCTTAAAGACTTCAGATGGGGGCAGAGGTCAACGACCCAAAACATCCATCCAGATCTACAGTGGAATGGGTCACATCAAAGAAGATTCATGTGTCGGAATGAACCAGCCACAGTCCAGACCTGAGTCCAGACCTGAGTCCAGACCTGAGTCCAGCTGAACCTCTGACCTGAAAACTGCTGCTCAGAGTCTCGATCCAGTCTGACTGAGCTGCAGCTGGTTTACAGGAATGGGACAGAATTTCATTTTCTACATGTTCAGAGCTGCTGGAGACAAACTCTGACCTGCAGAGGAAGGAGGTTCTGCAGAAGCTGAGGAGAAAAGAGCACCCCATTTTTTTTGTACAAGCTATTAAAAAACATCTGCAAGTTTCCTGTCACTCCACAGTTTGAGCTCCACTTCATGTTGCTCCGTCGCTTCATGTTGCTCCGTCACATAAAGTCCCAGGAACAGAGTTTGGGTCAGAACGGGACAAAATGTGGAAAAGTTCTTCAGATATGAAAACTTTCAAGGTGCTGTCAGACTCACCTGTTGGGAAGTGCTTCAAAAAATCTCAATCCATGTTTTCCATTTTTTGTCACTTCAAACACTCACACGCACGCACACACGCACGCACACATGCACACACCCCTGCAAATGAACTGAATAAATAAGACGTAGAACGCTGTAAGGCAGAGTGGACCGTGCATCTGTCAACAACAACACATCCAGGAACAAACAGAGCAGCAAACTCTGCTGCTGTTTTGAAATCAAGTAGAACTTCAAGGCTTTCCAGGTGATCTCCTGATCCTCGGGGCCCAGTCCTCACCAGACAGACCTGGCTCTGGTTTCTGCAGCAGGAAGAAAGACCTCTTCATCACGAGAGTCCGGTCCAACCAGCAGGACCTGCAGCCGCAGACACACGTCTGCATTGCCTCCAGACGTGGAGTCTATCCAGGAAGAGTCCAAGTGGAAACAAAGGAGAGTCAGGACAGTCCGGACGTGTCCAGGTAACTCTGGAGCTTCCGAACCGTACTTCTGTCCAAAGAGCAAAGGTCAAAGTCAAAGGTGGTGTTTGTGATGTGGAAATGTCCCGTCTCCTCGATGAGGTTAACGATCTGAAACAGAAACAACAAATGATTGTATCAACGCTCGAGGTCAGCTCCTTTCAGGGCGAGGACGTACTCAAACATTTGAACTCATGATCAACACGTTTTCCCCCAAACCGCTGCAGCTTTTTCTTTCTTTGATTCGCCTATAAATGCTGTTTCCTTCAGTAAACGTTTCAGTTTAGTGATGACGGGATCATTACCGCCCCCTTTCAGTCTCATAAAAACTTCTCAGGTTGTTTTTTTTTTTAGCACAAAACAAGTTGCTACATCATCGTTTCTGTCAATTTCTCATTTTGAATTCACATGGATCCATAATTAAATTTTATTTTTAAAGAAACTTACTACTTTGGAAAATGTTTTAAAATCTATCAGTCTTCCTCATCAAACACAAACACACTGAGTGTAAACAGGAGGTGCAGAAAAAACAAGTGACATGCCGATGTCCCCTGTTACCGACGGGTTTCAATAGTCAATGTTTTATTTATTTATTTATTTATTTATTTATTTATTTATTCATTTCATAACAAAATAAAATACATATCAATTAACATATATGTAATTAGAAAACAATTATAAATATAAAATGAAAGGTAGCAGATGAAGAAAAAATCTTATTGAATCTGCTCCTTATTTATCTAATAAACCATTCAAACAAACATATTCAGAAAATTATCAGAAACAAGTAAATAACTCAAGTAATATTTCAAATATCCAACATTTTTCATGAAATACATTCATATATATTTTTTTAGCAATTGAATTTTTACCATTTTCTTAAATACCGAGATTGATTTAGCTTCCTTAACATCTAACTCCAAGTCGTTCCACAGTCCAACACCCTGAATTAGGGTAGATCTTCAGTTTGTTCAGTTTTTGAGATATATCTTATATATTTGTGTGTGTGTGTGTGTGTATATATATATATATATATATATATATATATATATATATATATATAT